TCCTGCTTAGAGTTGACCAAAAAATGTATCACCATCAGAATTTAGCTGAAGAGCATCTTGCCAGAGAACAGCTAGTACTTGAATAATCTTAACCCACAGACCACTTTTCACCAGCGTGTGCATCTTTTCTTGCGTATCTGTATTCTAATATTCTTCATCCTGTGTTACTTCCCCTTACACCTTTAAGTCCGGAACCTGCTCCCTTTATTTCTGCCTCATCCCTTCCGGAACTTCTCTTTCTCCCACCGCCATGTGCAGCCTCAGAACCAACCACATGGAGCCTTAACCAGCCCTGGATCACTGTTCTTGCCCTGCTGTCACCTGTGCCTACAAGGACTGATTAGTAATTTCACTAACTGGGAATCTGCCTAAAATTAAAATTTGGACACCTCCACACAAGGAAAAGTTATCAGCTTCTATGGGTTTGGTCACTTTTATCATTAGTTCAGTTTTTCATTTCTGGCAAAGAATGAATTTTGCTGATGGTTACGTTTGTACTACAGCTGTCTGACAAATGTCTGGTAGGGAGGACCCTGAAAACTTTCATTTAAATGGTGATTTTTACAGATGTTTATCCTATCAATTGTAAATTAACTCCTCAGATTATAGGGTCGTTTGGCTCAGTTGTCTCTCGTGGTCACCATCACCACCTGCTCCCTTACCAACCCAAATGACATTCACCAACATGCTGTGGAAAGGATTCGGCAGCCTCTGTTGGGTCCTGTTCCCAGAAGGGGAAGAATCCATCAGTGAAACTTGTACCGAAAACCTGGTGCCGTTTTCTTTGGTAATGTCAATTGACCTTGGAAAAATAGAAGGGAAATAACTAAATATTCCTTACTCCCCACTGCAAACATTAGATAATTACATTGTTTCCATCATAATAAATGTGGAAGTTTTTGAGTGTCTAACACCTTGAAAGTCTAATTCTGCAAGAATTTTTTTCTTATTACTTGAATACCCAGTAACCATATTACCTTGTCAGAGTAGATGTCCAAGGCATTCGCTGTTTGCTTAAAAACCACCTTTGCTAGTTAGGTAGTTAAGAGCAGTAATAGACATTGGCAATTTCGTAAGTAATGCAGTATTTTCCTGATTGAGAGACCCTTGTTTAAAATGTGTCGCTAATTGCTATTTCCATTTTTAATCATTTTTCCTCAGAAACCCACAATCTGCCAAAGCAACCTCCACTTGCCCTAGCCATGGGACAGGCCACACAGTGTCTAGGACTGATGGCTCGATCAGGAATTGGATCCTGTGCTTTTGCCACAGTGGAAGACTACCTACATTAGCTATGCATTCATGGAGCTCACACTTATATTGTGGCATATAGTCAACATGGAAGTAGACCAGTTCTGCTGATTTGAAATTTAGATTTTTTAAATTATGTACTGGGGACAGGTTTTTGTTGCTTTACATTGCTTCCTAGTTTACAGCATGATGCAAATGATTTTCTAACTTAGTGTTAGGAGAAATTATTTTCCATCTTTAACCTCTTAGTTGTCTAAGAGTTAAATAAATATTACTGAATTTCAGACGTTCAAATTGATCATCACAAATCCTTTAAAACAATTACCTAAAAGAAACCAAAAAATCCTGCCTTCTTTGTTGGGGGGAGAGAGGGGGGAAGGAAACGGAACAAGTTGTGTTTGTGTTAGCATGTGGGTGATGTAAACTTCAAATTGGGAGGTGTTCTGACCCCCGCTCCCATGTAAGCAATTCAATCAGTGTAACTTGCAAAATGCATAAACATCTGACCGTTTGAATTTATAGTGTTGATGGAAGAAATCATTTTTAATGTGTACTGTACAACTTGAAATACTCAGGAGCTGAGTGAATATGTTTGTTGCTACTTACAATCCCGACCTGTTAAGTCCCAGTAGTTTTGTTTTAACATGGTCTTTTTCAACTTTGTTTCCTGTTTAACTACAGATGACGTCTGTTGTAGACTCACAAGTTTAACTGTTGTATTATAACAGTATTACATGTCAACAGTGTGGTCATGACCTTTATTTATATAAAAACCAAATATTTAGTCAATTTATTACCGTGTCTTAATTTAATCTTTGTACACCTTCCATTTTTAAGTGCTTAAATGAGTACTATATTGCAATAAACATGTAGTGATATCATTAACCAGCCATTAAAAATTTACTTCTACAGATACTAGAGTGTCAGTTGAATTTATACATTAGGTACTTGCATACTTCTCATGATTAATATAAAGTTAGAACACCTAAAATGAATGGTTGCTACTATAAATCTGAGTTCTGCAACCTCAGACTGCCTTGAGTTTACTGGCCTCCTGTGGATTAGGGCCAAACCTGATACTACGGGTGATACAGAAAGAAAGCAGGAAATGAATCTTCTTGTTTTCATAATCATAATATGGCATGTGACTTGCCATTTTTAAAGCAAACTCCCAAACTGGTTAAAAGTAAAACGTACAAACAAGCTCTTCAACAGGATAACAACCAACCATATCCTTTGGTTTGGTAAACCTTCTTTTAAAAAAGAACATCCTCGTATTCTGTGAAATTCTCATCAGTAGCACAAAAATATCCAAGAGACTAAAGCATCTGAGAGCTGTAGTGGAAGACTTTTCCTGCCACACACCCTGCAGGGGAGGGGGGAGGGGTAGCAGAGTAGCCCTACTGGTGTGGGCACTGCTTGTGTTCAATAAAATGGGTAAACAATTATAAAAAGAAAGGAGAACAAGTCCTTTTAAACTGCTCTTTCTTCCAGGATGCTCAAAGACTACACGGCACAATTAATTATACTCCATGGATGAAGTGTGACTGGGTACTACCCCAAATAGACTACGATTTTTATAATGACCCTTTAAAATGATTTGTAAGTCTTTTATTAATTTTTTCAGAAAAATTAAATGCTCTAAACTAAAAATTTATAAGTTCTATACATACGAAGTCCTCATTCTTCATTTAGCTTTGATTTACTTCTTAGAAGTTTTCATCTTTCTGACCATCCAACGTCTTTTAAACCTCTTGGCATTTTGTTTTTTCTGGGATGCTAGAATAGAAGGTCTTGTGCAGTTAATAGAGATGAAATTCCCAAGAAACAATTCCAGATTTTCTAGTTAATACATGAGTGTAAATATTAAAACTAGGTATACGTGCATACACACTACACTGACCTATTCTTCAGAAGCAACTTTAAACTAGTAATAGAAGCCACTGTAAGGGGAAAAAAACGATACTTCATGAGTATTTACTATCTCCTTAAAAAGGAACATCTTTCAGGGACTTCCCTGGTGGTCCTGTGGTTAAGACTCTGTGCTCCCAATGCAGGGGGCCCGGGTTCGATCCCTGGTCAGGGAACTAGAGCCTGCATGCGCAACTAAAGATCCCACATGTGGCAGTGAAGATGCCACGCGCCACACGCAACTAAGACCCGGCACAGCCAAATAAACAATTTTTTTTTTTTTAAAGAACATTATTCAATATATAAAATGATCAGATTCAGAGGATAAAGCTGAATCTTACCCCAAGCATTATTCAAAAACTGGGCTGCAGCCTTTTTCACCGGTAACCTCTTGTTGTCAAGAGACAGGAACTTGTTTACTAGGAAAGAGAATTATTTATCATTGCTTTGTTTAACTTGCAGTTAAAAAGGAGAAAAACAGTCCATAAAGAAATTACCAGTAGTTCTGTTGGTTCCAGGACCATATAAACAATTTTGTACGAAGGCTTTGGCGGCTTCCTGCCTTGAATCTCTCAAATCTTGGTCTTTTAGCCTTACAGCCAAGTAGCTTTTATTCTGGCTGGTAATCAATACAAAAGGTCAAAATGAGGCAGTGCTTATTTTCAAAATAAAGTATTTTTGTTAGTTGACTCAAATAGTGGGAAAAAATATCCCAAGTCCTAATTTTGTATATGCATGGGTAAGATCATAAAACTAAATTCCAGGACTATTTTACAAGTAATGTTTACATCTTAGTAGAGCAAATAAATATTTTTTTTGATACAAATACCAAAACCTTTCAGAGGATCCGATCTGCAACTGCTACTGATTAAGCCAGTACCCTCCTCCAAAGGCCACCTTTACATCCGACACACAAAAGACGACTCTTCTTACCCAACAGTCTGTACTTTTTGCACTTTTTCTTTAGCTTTCTTTGAGTCACTTCCTTTCTCACATTCTTCATTTTTCTTTTGCAAATTAACTAAAAAAATTGAGTTATATTTCTAATTAGCATTGGTGTAAAAACAAATCAGAAACACATACTGCAGTTCACTTTAAATACCCACTACACACCAGAGTGTGGTTTTCACTTGTAATAAGCTACAACTGGCCAGGCCTGTTCCCATGCTCTTTCTAAGGGTCAGTGACATCTGACTGCAAATATCTGCAAATGCAGTTGACACTTAACGAGAAGTTACTAAATTAGAATAGTTCATACCTTCTTTCAACTTTGCAGGTGATTTCTTCACACTAAGGAAGAAGAAGAACACTAATTGGGATGGCAGAGAGCAAAGGTGACTCGTTACAATTTTTCATCTAGTTTTACAAATAAGATACCCCTCCCCCCCCTTTACTACCACCATTCTCAGTTTTCACTTAGGACCTTTAGAAAGAAAGAGTCTCTCCCCAGTGAACTGCTGACAACTCAAAATCAACAAACTATACTAGGTTGGGAGTATCTTCTCAGAATTTAAAATCTGAAAATATATTAGCAGGCTTCCAAAGAAGCAGACTGTTGTGGTTAACAGAGTTAAAGTGAAATATTTAAGAATTATATAATACAGTATTTGAAATACAAAGTGAAAGGTGGTAGGCCTGCCCCACTTTATTTGGAGAGATCTCGAAGGATTAATTGAACAATTTAGACACAAACGAGGATAGAGACAAGAATTTATAGCCTCAAGAAGTGCGGTCTAATGGAGAGAAAGGTAAATGGCAAAATACAATGAGATATCTACCCAGAAGCACTTGCACACTGGAAAAGCTCGACGGGGGGGGGCGAGCGAGGGGTGGAGGGAGTGAGAGAAGACAGGTGACATGAGGACTCGGTTTTGAAAGGTGAAAAGGACTCTGTCACCGTGATGGACTCAGAAACCGAGTAACTCTCTGGAAAAAGTTCTTTTACTGAAAATTTGAGAACCACTGTCAAAGATGCAGGGCTAAACTTCTGAACTGAAAGCAGTAAGAGGAGACAAGGGGGAATGGGTGGGGGCGAAAAGCAAATATTTAGAAATGCAAATTAAGTACGGTTTGATTGATTCCCTGGCACAGATGAGGAAAAGTAGCTTTAAACGTGCAGTGGATGGCAGAGCTGCTAAGTGAAATGGGGAACGAGGAGGGAGGCCGGGTTGGTGGCAGATAGGGCAAGTATGGGACAAGCTTGAGTTTTAGGAGCCTATGGATAATTGCCTGCTACTCCACCAAAGGATAAATTTCAAAACACTGTTTTATTCACACCATCTATCCTGCCCCTAGTACAATGACAGTGGCCCACAACTTATTGAATGAACACACTGGGATCAGAAACTAGAGTTACCTATGGGGAAAACAACAAACGATAAAAACCAGAAGACTGAAAAGAAGTGGAATATTTCCCTCCACCTGTCCCACCAAATTCAAAAACTGTGTAGCTTTTTAATTTAGACTTTACAATTTCTTCAGTTATTTGCGTTCAAATAAATGTACCAATACGTAATTCAAAGACTGTATGGAAGGCAAGTAATAAAACGAGATCCACTACTTACCTGGTTTGTGAAGCTGTAGTTAACTTCTCTAGAATAGTATCTGGAAGAAGTTTTCTTTTCTTAAAAACGTTTAAAAAATCAATTAAAAGTGAGATACACGACAGTACGCCCTGGATTGCTTTTAAAAGTTACCATTTTAAGGACAGCCCTACCTCTAGGCAAATAAATGAACTGGGCTGAACACCGCCCTCCACTATCTCTAAGCTGTGGGAAGACTGGGACCAAGCATCTCAGAAACTATTCCACATTCTTCGGAAGGATGTGAAGGCTGGAACCCTCAGGTCACTATCATACACTGGAAGCAGTTAGTATCACGTCCACATGGAGTCAGTTCTGTGGCCAATCTGCTAAACAGCAGAGAGCTCATCAATCATCCTCCATGTCGGAACGGCCCTTAGTTTACAAAGCACTTAACTCTCACGGCGACCCAGTTTCAAATAAACTACCTCCGCCGAGCGTCAGAGGTGGGACTGACCCTACGATTTAAAGTTCCCACCTCTTCCCACTCCCATTTTCAATCGGTGGACAGCAAAGAGCACGAGCACCTTGTCACTGTAGTCAGAAGAAAATATTAGCGACTTTCCTCTACCCCACATCCTAGCAACTTTGAATTCTACCCCGAGCCGCGCTGTGAAACGCCGCCCTCCCCTCTAACCTTCTGTTCGATGAACAACTCCTCGCGTCGCTTTCTCTTCTCCTTCAGAAGCGTTTTATCCCTGGGAGAAAAGGCGAAAAGTCAGTGCGGGCAGGGACGAGCAGGATGGGAAGGGGCGCTTCTCCCCGCCCGGCCGCGGGCTCCGAACCTGCGCACGGTCTCGCGAACTCGCCGCTCCTCTTCTTTCGCTTCCGCCTGAGCGCTGGCGAAAGTCAGCTCCTCCGGGGCCTCGTCGTCAAGCTCATCGTCCCCTTCCTCGTCTTCCTCCAGCGGCTCGGCAGCCGCGCCGCTGCTCGGCTGCCCGAGCAACAGGCCGTGCTCCGCCTCCTCCTCCGAGGCGGGCTGGCCCTCGTCCACCATCGCCGACGCCGACACCGGGGCGCGGGACGCGCGCGGCCTGAGCTGCACCATTACCCAAGCTGCGCCCGACCTCTGACCCGGAATCAGCACGCAAGCGGAGCGTGACGTAAAAGGCAGGCGCCGCGGGTTCTGTCGCCCTCTGCAGGTTCCGAGGCCCCACTGAGCTATGCAGAGGCGCATGCGCAGAGCGAGGAAGGGCGTGGCCTGAGGAAAGCCGGGGGCCCTTCCCTTCCGCCCGGCTCCGGGGCTGCGCGCAGGAGGCCTCGCGGCTCCCTCCTCGCTCACGGCTGCGAGAGCAGGTGGCCGTGGTGCTTGTTTCTAGGCAGGAAAGATACATCCTGCTGCCTCCTTGGCGGGGATGCCGAGAGCAGGGTTGGCCGGGTCCTCGCGCTCCTTGAGGCGGGCTCGCAGGTCCCCTCATCCGGTGACCACAAGCTCCAGTCGCCCTATCGCCGCCTTTCTTAGCCCCGAGATCCGCTTGGTCGAGCCCGTTCATCAGTATTTGTACAACAGATTCGGCTTCCCGCGCTCCCCGCAGAAGTGCGGGTTCAAAAGGAAGAAGTGCCCCCTATGCCTTTCAGCCCTGTTGTCGCCGACGAGAAACAAGGTCGACAGACTCGGATTTCAGTCGATCCTCAGCACCAAACGTGGGCGTGGCGACCTCGGCCGCCCTCTCACGGGCATCCCTGACCACCAGCCCTCGGCCACCGCCTGTTCTGTGCCCATCACTGACTCCTCGCCTTAACAGCTCGTTGTCTGACCCTCCCGTTGAACGCGAGCTCACTGAGAGCGGGGACCCCCTCCCCGGTTCCCTGCTGTAACCCCAGGACCTTGCACGGTGTCTGGGTGTGTGCCCATACTACCGTCACTTAGTGACGCAACCCCCGTACTGTGTATATTTATGCCCCTGCCCCCACCCCAAGTATACTTATTTCATTTCCTAGCATACGTGGCCCTTCATGACCTTTGTGTTTATCTTCTCTCACCCATTATACGATAGCAAATGATTCATCTTTCTCTGAACAAACCAAGCTATTTCATATTCACCTTGCATTTGGACATACATGCTCTAGTGATACACACTCTGCCCTTGGAACTCCTATTTATACTTCAAAAACTTCCACCCAGGCTGACTTCCTCTTAAAGACTTTCAAGCACCTTAAGATCGACCCCATCCCCACTCGGCTCATCTCTAACTGCATTCTCTGAATCTTGAACAAATTTCTGTAACTATAGCTTCCACGCTGTTTACCAGTTTATATGACAATTGTCCCAACCCAGTCTTTGTGAACTCCTTGAGGGACGGTCCATCTCTCTCTAAGCACTGTATTTCTAATGTCTATCATATGGCAGATGTTCAGTAAATATTAAATTGAATTGCATAATCCTACCTCACATAAATTTTGGAGTATTTTCAATTCGCGTTTCCTCTGCTCTGATTTGGGAGCAATTCCTAGTTTAAAACCAAGACCAAAACATGAACAAAAATGACAAAACAGAAACAAAAACAGCTATTGGTACCAACAACCTAGTAGGAAGGGAGTTGCAAAGAACAGTCCTGAAATAGCTGGATCTTGGTCAGATAGAAATTACAAATTAAAAATATAGTCCGACTCCCTGAAACAGTGTTCTGACTTCCATCACTGCTAACACTAGGGAATTGTATACAGTGCACTTTTGAGAAGCCCTACAACAAACCTACTAGAAGTGAATGATGGTATTTTATGTACAAAAACTGCATTATAAGTATTACAAGTCCCCTCGGTGTGCATGCTTTGACCCACCCATGTAAAAGTATATGACAGGAGCCCTCAGGGTGCCTGGCTGATCTTTCAGACTCCCTGTGGGTTATGGGTACCCCTCTTGCCCATGCAAAGGATACTTGGGATTTATTAAAAGGCATGACTTGCAAATGCAGTACAAAGTTTTATGTCACAGCATCCTGTCATCTACTTCTACAAACGCCAAGGGTGTAAAATATTAAATGCAATTTTGTAAGGGGTGGGGATGATGTGGCCCAGCTGCATAATCACCCAGGGAGCCCACCTGATCCAAGGGAGCTAGTTATGTACGACCTTCATGTGCTGTTTACTGAGGGCCGCTCCTCTGTCAGGCCTCTGATGCCTGCCTTGCCGGCAGCAGGCATCCCTGGGTGCTGCACTAGATGGTGGGACTTGAGGAGAGGGCTGTATTCTTCCTACTTTACGCAGAGGTAGTATGAGCATAAAACTTTCAAGTCCCACGGGAAAAACTCCCTTCAAAATTCAACATCGGGGGAAGCGTGTGTTGATGACAGTGAGAAATGTCCTTCTGTGTTTATAATATTGAGGAACGACCCACCATCACCCTCTCCCTTTCCTCCTTGGCTGCTTGGAAAGCCAGTGCTAAATTTTAGGCAGCTGTGTTTGTCCTTGGAGTCCATATATTTGCATTACTCTTTTTTCTCATCCTGATTTTCTACCTTACTGCTAATTTTCTCTTCCTTCCTTGCCTGAATTCTTGTTGTAAGCTATCCCCCTGAACTGAGGTTAGGCAGCCAAACAAGATAAACATTGACAAGAAAAAGTCCCCAACAAAAGATATCTCTTGGGGTAACACCTTTATACAGTCAATTACCTGCTGTAGAAAGGGATTTTATTTTCCACCAAACCTTGCACAAAAATCAGAAATACCAGGGTTTTACCCCTCTACCCAAATAGCAAAAAAAAAATTACTTTTTTTAGACAATCTAATTACAAAGTTGTTTCCCTCCCGGTAACCAACCAAACACATCAGAGGTATCTTATGTTTAGGTTCAAACCAAATAACGTGAATTGACTTGAGAAGTTCTGTGACTTCTCCTTCTAAACACGTTCACTACTATTTCCTCTAAGTCCCGTCACTTATCAGCAGTTTGGATTCCAGAAGATACATTCAGACCTTTCAGTATTCAGCTCACCATCCACAAGACTGTCTCTCCTGTTGGTGGCCTGGTACTTCAAGATGCGCTGTGATTTATTCCTTCCTCAGGGCAATTAAGAAACAGTTTCAGTTTCATGAGGCGCAAGGGCTTCAGGAAGCATCGTCCCACATGGCCCCTGGAAATGAAACCTGAAATGGCAGCACGAACACAGCAGAGTTAGGAGCAAGATGAACATTCTGCTTCAGCAAGTCAACTTTCTTAGTTACAGCCAGAGTAAAATTCACATTCTCACAAATGCGGTCTTATGCGTTTCTGTGCCCAGTTCTTTCATCTAGTTTCTGAAAACTCCAAATGCAGACACTTCACTATGGGTTGGCCCCTGTCACCAAGGGAATTTGGGAAAGCAATTGCCTAGAATTTAGGTGCTATAAATAAGGATTTTCTTTTAAGGAAGAAGAGGAGACATGGTTGTATTTTGTGATTGCTTTGCCAAACTCGTAACTGACATATTGTAAGTTTTACAAAATCTTACTCACAGGTAATAAGGACAAGAAAAAAAGAGCCTCATGCACCATGTGGACCGTAAGGACTTTACCTGAGGCCACAGGCCTCTCCAGCTGTCCACGGGAATTCGCGACTAGCCCTGACTTGCAGTCAGAAAGCAGGAAAACGAGAAAGATCAAGAAAGAGGAGGGAGAGAAAAGGAGAAAAACCAACGACTTCTGCTTCCTTCAAGGGAAAACACTTAGGACAACAGGGGGGAAATACCCAACTAATTCTAGTGTATCGTTAATAAGAAAATCAACTGAGCACAGTTAAAAATGAAAACAGCATTTGGTCATATTACTTATTCTTGATACAACACAAATCATGAATGCCTTAGCCCTTGAATACTCTGTTCTCTGTGCCACGAACAGACATCCCCGACCAAATGGCCTCTCTGATCCTTCTACCACTGGCAGCATGTGGAACACTGGCCACTAGAAAGCTCCGCCCCAGCACAGTCCCTTGAGGACTTTCCGAGAAGCACAGCCAGGCACGGAGAGCCTCAACTTCCACATGTTCTTCCTTGTGCCCCTTTCCACATTCACCCTCCTCCCTATTTACCAAAGCAAGCTGCACCTCACCTCACCCATCCCAAATCTTACAATGGCGCCTTATCCCAGAACATGAAAAGAAAGGGATGTCTGAAATATCGGTGTGGATGTGAGAAAACACACGGTTTCTAAAGACCGGGTAACACATGCAAGCAGGGCCGTTTCATCCTTGCTTTCAGTAAAATTGAAAGAGGGTCTTATAGAATTGTCAGCGAACAGATCACTACACGTGATTCAAGATTACTATGGGTATTTCAGCATATAACTTGGAAGGAGATCCAAAATCTGAGTAGCGATGCCATAATGAAATTCCTTTCACGCCCAGGGTTTATGTGGCCCAGGTTTCTCAGTACTTTCATCTATAAAAAGCAAAAACTGGGACTTCCCTGGTGGCGCAGTGGATAAGACTCTGCGCTCCCAATTCATGGGGCCTGGGTTCGATCCCTCATCAGGGAACTAAATCCCACATGCATGCTGCAACTAAGGAGCCCACGAGCTGCAATTAAGGAGCCCGCCTGCCACAACTAAGGAGCCTGCCTGCTGCAACTAAGGCCCAGGGCAACCAAATAAATAAATATCTTTTTTAAAAAGCAAAAACAAAGAATTACAATTGACATTGGACATTGAAAAGGTAAAATTTAGCTCGGCCAGTAAAAATCTTCCCTGCCATCCCTCAGACTGGAATTAGAGACACAGATACAGCCAGCTGCAAAGCTAGTAAGAAACACAATTTTTTCCCCCCCAGGACAAGCTGCACAATATCATAACAACTCCCTTCTTTGAGCGACCACTGCTTTATTACTCACTGAGTAGGAATTCTGTCCTCTAAAATCATACGCTACCAGTATGACGGCACTAAAGAATGAAATATCCTGTGTCTGGAGGACCTAAGCCACTTTGCCTCCGAGAAGCAGCCTTACTTCCAACCCAGGTGCAGAGCTCCAGGTAAGGGGTGTCTGGGACCAGGGTTCCACATCTACCTTCAAGGAAACAGGACCTTGCGGCCACTTTGCAGCCAGAGCAGATCTGACCCCTCTCCACAACCACAGCCCTGCTAGTCGCTGAGTCTATCAGAAACTGCTTCATGTAAACTTCACCTAAACTCAACCCTCCTTCCAAATCCTATAACAACTCCATCTTTTCCTTTGTTTGGGGACATGCCCCACGGCTCCTCTGGGGTCTCGCTCACTGCAGTGGGTCAGGAAACCTGATCTTCTCAGAATACAGGTTTGTTTCCTGTGACCACAGGCCGACTGGGCTACAACAACATGAACTCTGTCTCCTTCTAACAATATGTAACACTCAGCCACGGATACCCGAACTAATTCAAAAAACTCATGCCCCATGCATCTATTCAGAGATGCATTTCCCATAGTTTTACTTTTATGGAATTATTCATCAAAATGTATCATTTGTTGTTTTCAACAACTTAGTACTATAAATTACTGCAGTGATAATTCCATCTACGAGAATTTTTCAGTGGAACAATTTTTAAGTTTTAAAGAACTTGAAAATAGTTAAGTAACTCATATATTTTACAGCAGAATATAATAGGATAGTCAACAAAAGATTTTCAAGCATAAAAATACATTAATATACATTTCTACGGTAGAAGTAGGATGGGAATACCAGTTCAAAGAGAAAAAGAAAAAATGTGAAGGTTCTCACTGTTAAAAAGGGCTTGTATGTCTATTCTGTAAATGGATGACGTGGGTATCAAGTAGTTGTGACATTTGGATTTGAGTGGATACATTTAAATGGCAGTTTAGGATAATGGCAGTTTTATTTTTAAATGTCGGTATTTTATTTCCAGTAATTCGGAATCACATCTTCTTCAATGATTTTGATAAATTTTAGATGTCAAGTTTAAAAATGTAAATGGGGTACAAGAACAAAGGTGTTTGAAGACCCCTGTTCTGGCAGCCCGGTGCCTTTCCCCTCATCCCTCCCACTGCAGGATAACCAAGACCACTGTGTTTCGCCCAGAATATGTTCATGCCACTTCTATTGGCTAATGCAGTGATCCAATTTAATTAAAAATTTAATTAATGCAAAAATAAAGCTATTAAAAGAGGGTTATTTCTAGGAAAATTAGCTGAATGCTTTGGAAAGACATAGTTATTAAAAACAATTCTGTCAAATTAGATGTAGGTGGACAAGATGAGGGGAAAATGCTTCACAAGTGTTTTTTGTATGTTCTTTCTCCACTTAAAAAAAGAAAAAACAGGGAATTCCCTGGTGGTCCAGTGGTTAGGACGCTGTGCTTTCACTGCCGAGGGCATGGGTTCAACCCCTGGTTGGGGAACTAAGTTCCTGCAAGCCTCACAGCGTGCCCCCCGCCACCGAAAACACAAATAAACAGAAAAATATCTAAACCAGGAGTTGTATTTCAGTGTTTTCCAAGATTTCCTGATGATAAGAATCACCTAGGTCACTCGTTAAATATACAAATAAACAGCCCTCTTGCCCTGGATATTCTGACTCAGGAAGTCCAGACTGGGGCCTTGGGATCTGATTTTCTTGGTTATCTGTTTTGTTTTATAAAATAAAGGCTCAGGTGATTTTTCTCTTCAGGGAAATTTGGGGAACACCAGGAGGATTATGAATATGATTTATGCAAGAAAGGTGAGCTCCAGTCAGTAGATTCCCCCTAAAGAAAAGGCCTTTGGCTCTATCAGAAAAAAAAAAAGGCAAATGAATGCACATTTATGCTTTAAATGAAAATGAAATACTTATGTGTCCTTTTTTATTATATTCTTGCTTTAAGTGACTTTTTTGGTTAACAGATCGCAGGGCCCCTTTGCATGGACTAACAGGGCACCTACCCCCTACCCTGATAATCCAGCCTGGGAGAGCACGGGCCTTCCCTATCAAATGTGATCAGCTGTAAATTAAAAGAACTAACCTCTTTGATACTCTTGAGGAGTAAATACATAAATAAGACAAGTGATAAAACCATCTCCTAGCTAAGAATTCCTGCAGCGAGCAGGAACTCCACCTGCAGCGAGCTTCCTCTGGGGGCACTTGCCCAGCACACAGGTCACTTCCTCGCCGTACTGACCCCTCCACCTCTCCTGGAGCGCCGCCCCGCTCCCTCCTCTCCAAGCATGCTGGCCTCCCTGCTGCCCCTCAAACCGCCCAGGCTTGCTTTCCCCTTGGGGCCTGTGCTCCAGCTGGTCCCAGCATCTGGAGAGCTCTTAGCCCAGACACCCCTTTAGCTAGCTCCTTCCCCTCCTCCAAGTCTGCTCAGGCCTCTTCTGCGTGAGGCCCCCCCCACCTACCCACTGAGTCCTGCGACCCACCTGCTCCCCCCAGCTCTACCTTTGCTTTTCCCATGGCCTAATCCCCACTTCTCATAGGCCACAGAATCTGCACATTTATTATCCTTATTGTGTACTATTTGCCTCCACCGCTAGAATGCCATCTTCACATGGTAGGGTTTGTGTATCGTTTACTAATATATCCTATCCTAAGCACCCAGAGCAGTGCCTAGTGCATAGTAGGCACTAAATAAACAATTATGGGCTTTGACTAAATTCCAAAGTTTAGAGAAATGCAAAGATGAACAACAGGTGGTCGCAGGGCGTGGAGGGGCCAGGGTGCTTGGAAAGCCCTGCACACCAGTGTCTCGGGAGCACAAATCCCACTTCTGCCTCAACAAATGCACGCAGACCCTTACTTGCCAAGGACCTCTGGGAATGAGTAACAGCCAAAACCTTGAAGCCTAAATCTGAAAATGCCTAGTGTAACGGTTTTTCAGAAATCATCTAAGGCAACCATCTGGGACAGGGAAAAAAAAAAAAAGTGGAACTAATTAACACCTTGAAAATATTAATACATTTCAGTGGGAGGTAAATTCTACACGACTTAGTCTCTAAATTAGAATTGGGGCAAAGAGTCCAAACAACTTGTACAAGGTCGAAGGAGTCTTGTGAGATCCACGTTTAAAACAGAGGCAGCATTCCCACTAGCTATTTAGATAACGAAGAAAATCAGGTTAAAAGGAGATATCATTCCAATTTTCATTTTTCTTATTAACCTAGAGCAGGGGTTGGCAATTTGCTTTCTGTAAAGAGCCAGAGAGTAAATATTTTCATCTTTGCAGGCCTGACAGTCTCTGCTGCAACTACTCACTTCCGCTGTTTAAGTTCAACAGCAGCCACAAATACAGGAACATGTGGCGGTGGCTAGGTTCCAATAAAACTTTATTTACAAAAAACATGGTGGGTGCATTTGGCCTACAGGCAGCAGTTTGCTGACCCCTTGACCTAACTAAAGTTCAGCCAACATCTGTTACACATAAGATGTGAGAAATTTCTGCTTTTGTTGAGCTGCGTGTTTAAACAAGCCTCTTAATCACTCTGGGCTTGGTTCCCCATTTGAAAAACTGAGTAGGATGGATCACCCATGCCTCTCCTAAATGTCAGCTTTGGTGACGCCTAGACAAAAGCATTGCTGGCTTCACTGGTCAGTTATACTCATCTGGGAAAATGCCCAGACTCCGTGGTACAGAGAGTCTCGGCTCCCAAAGAAGCCCACAAGCACCTGTTCTCGTGGTTCTTGCGGTCGGTGCTGTCCAAATCCGATCAAAGTCTCTGACTAGCAAGTAGCCCTGTCTGTCTAAACAGAGACACGGCAGGTTTTCAGGACGTGACGCTGAAGGATTCTGGTTGAAGAGTAGCAGCTGAAGCAGGTCTGCGGCTTTAGGAGGCCCAACTTATGAAGCGATATCATTAGTACAAGTCAAGAATCTCTTCTTAACTTGCATGGAAAACCACCAAGTTCCACTTCCTTTCATGTGAAGACCAACACGACGGATGCCCAGTCCTTGCTGGTCAGTCCTGAGCGTGAAAGAGGCCAACTCTTACCGTGGGCTGTGGAAACACTCGAGTTTTATTTTCTTCTTTTTCCCTATCTGCATTTTACTTTTCTACTATGACGTGTACTTTTCTGTACACTTATTAGAGATGAGCTGGAGATCTAGTGACTGAAAATAAGCCACATTAGAAGGAAAATAGAATTTGGGGATGAACCGCATTTCCTGCTTCAGAAAATTTATCCTGTCCCCACCTGGGAGCGTTCTGACACTCTTCCAAGCAGACAAGAGGCTTGGGTTACCTGGCTGCGATGTTACTTTTGATGATGCTAAGTGGCCCAGGTGCTACACGTAAGTGCCACAATGTACCAATATTTTAGTGGATAAGTTAGAAGACAGCAACTTTTTTAATAGAACAACTTTATTGAGATGTAATTCACATACAATCCACTCATTTAAAAGGTATAATTTAACAGGTTTTTTTAGTATATTCACAGAACTGTACGACCATCACCACAAGCAACTTTAGACCATTTTCATCATCCCAAAGTAAACCTGTACCCATCAGCAGTTAGTTACTCCCCATTCCTCCCTACCCCAACCCTAGACAACCACTAACCTACCTTCCGTCTCTGTTGATTTGCCTATTCCGGATATTTCGTACAAAACAGAATCATACAATATTTGATCTTGTGTGCCTGGCTTCTTTCACTAAATACAATGTTTTCAAGCGTCATCCATGTTGTAGCATGTATCAGCACTTCATTCTTTTTATGGCTGAATAACGTTCCATTGTATAGATAAGTTTTGTTTATCCATTGATCAGTTAAAGGACACGTGGGTTGTTTCCATTTTTTATTATGATCCATGCTCCTATAAACATTCATGTACACATTTTTGTGTAGACATATATTTTCATTTCTCTTGACTACATACCTAGGAGTAGAATTGCTGGGTTATATGTCAACTGTGTACGTAATCTTTTGAGGAACCACCATACTCTTTTCCAAAGCAGCTGAATCATTTTACATTCCCACCAGCGATGTATGAGGGGTCCAGTTTCTTCACCAACACTTGTGATTCTCCATTTTTTAAATTATAGCCATGCTAGTGGTTAAGTGGTATCTGGCTGTGGTTTTAATTTGCATTTCCCTAATGATTAATGATGCTCAGCATCTTTTCAATGTGCCTATTGACCATGTATATATATATCTGGAGAAGTGTCTATTCAAATCTTTGGCCCACTTTTTAATTGGGTTATTCGTCTTTTCATTATTGAGTTGTGAGAGTTCTTCATATATTCTGGATACCAGTTCCTTTAAAATATTAGACTTGCCAATATCTTCTCCCACTCTGTGGACTGTCTTTTTCATTTTAGTGGTGGTGTCCATTGAAGCACAGAAGCTTTAACTTTGATGAAGTTCAATTTATCCATTTTTCTTATGCTACTTGTGCTTTTGATGTCATATCGAGGAGGCTTTGACTAACTTAAGGTCACAAAGATTTACTCCTATATTTTAAGAAATTTATAGTTTTAGCTCTTACGTTTAGGTCTGTGATCCACTTTTGTTTATGGTGTAATTAAGGGGTCCAATTTCATTCTTTTGCAGGTGGCTATCCAGCTGTTCCAGCACCATTTGTTAAAAAGATTATTCTTTCCCTTTCTGATTTGTTTTCATACCCTTTTCAAAAATCAGTTAACTATAAACATGAGGTTTATTTTCTGGACTCTCTTCAGCTGTGTCCTTCCATATACTTAGGTCTTCTGTATTTCTTCCAGCAGCATTCTGTCATTTTCAGAGTATAAGTTTCACATAGAAGGCAATGTTTTAAAAGGTGCCTTCCTGGGGCTCCCCTGGTGGCGCAGTGGTTGGGAGTCCACCTGCCAGTGCAGGGGACACGGGTTCGAGCCCTGGTCCGGGAGGATCCCACATGCCGCGGAGTGGCTAGGCCGTGTGCCACGGCTGCTGAGCCCGTGCTCTGGAGCCCATGAGCCACAACTGCTGAGCCCAAGTGCCACAGCTGCTGAAGCCTGTGTGCCTGGAGCCTGTGCTCCGCAACGGGAGAGGGCCCCGCAATGAGAAGCCCGTCGACACAATTAGAGAAAGACTGCCTGCAACAACGAAGACCCAACACAGCCAAAAATAAATAAATTAAATAAATAAATTTAAAAGGCGCCTTCCTAGTTCCCACCTCTTATACACAAATGAAGAACTATGGTCTAAGCACATAGGCTGCAGCTGACTAAAAAGACCTGGAGAAGTCTAGGAAGAAAGTCAGCTCACTCACCTGAAGAGGATTATGTCTGAGTGTTTCCACACTGTCTGTGACACAACTGTATCCCAATGAAAAAGAGCATTGGTCCTCATCCTGGCTGCACATCAGAATCACCTAGAAAGCTTATAAAAGTCATGGGGCTCAGGCTACACCTCCCACCAATTACACCAGAATCTCCTGGGTCATCAGATTTTTAAAACCTGAGGCAAAAACCACTGACTAAAGTAGTGACAAGAAGCTTCAGTGAAGTTTTCTTTTATTTATTCATATTTATTTATTAGTTCATAGTCTACCTTATTCTGGAAAGGAATTAAACAGACTGACAAGAATATATAAAGTACATGAAAAATGAAGAGCGAAAAGCAGGGGTGAAAAAAATCAAAACAAAGGTGAGGACATGAAATGGAACCTAGGATGAGACTCTACAAACGAATCCTGCGATAATCTACACTTTGCACACAAATTTGGGAAACAGGATCAGTATCATAATATGGCCACAAGTACAAATATTCTTGACAGCAAGACCAAAGAGGAATGTGCCCAGGGAGCCCCACGGTGAGAAGAGTGGGTGACACAGTTCCGCATGGGTATCTCCTGGGCTTACGTGCTGAGTCTTCGGCTGACCTACTTCTAAATGCCATTACTAAATCTAGCTTAAAAATACAAATAAAAGTAAAGTCTGAAGAATCAAGGAAGAACTTTCAAAATGTGAAAAACAAAAGCCCTATGGCAAACTTCCCGTAAAAAGACACAGCTACCTTCATCTAGGTTTAATACTTCGTTTTCTTCCATCAAAGCAACTACAGGCCAAATAAGAAAACACAAACTCCGTGTTTTTAAATTAGAATAGTAGGTAAAATCTGCTTGGATGACCACGCCCAGACCTGCTCAATAGCGTGCATTCCCACCTTGGTGACACCGGTACCTGAATCTGTTCGCTGCAGGGGTGGCTTCTATGTTAAATTCGGCCACCGGTACCCCCCGGGCAGACACCTGGGGAGCAAACATGGCGGCGGGGTAGACCACCGAGGAAGTTCCCACCTACAGAGCAAACAAACGGAAACGGACAAATGACCACACTGTGGAGAGGAAACAGCTTTTCAGAAAACCTACCAGAAACTTGGCCCCGTTTGTGGTGGCGGGTGTGAGGACAGCTAAGCTGGATGGGATAAGTGGAGAGCGTCTGAGGGACAAACAGGGAGGCAGGAGGCGCCCCTCTGGCTGACCCCTAGAATTCGGGAAGGACACACGATACAAAGACAAGAGCTGCACACACGGAGAGAATGGCAAAGAAATGACTCGATCGTCACCCAAAGGGGCTTAGTTGTAGTTTTGCTTCTGCTCTTTGAAGAGATGCAAATAATCCATGTTCCTTTTAAGTTAGAAAATACAAAGAGAAAACACATACATGTCATTCCTAATCCTACGTCTACCAAGATTATCACTGTTCACATTCTGATGTATATTCTTTCAGGTTTTTCTCTATGAATATATATTTATAAACATTCTTTACAAGAGCAGGGAGACCAGACCAAGTTTTACAAGCCAGCTTTCCTTGCTTAACCGTCTATCAAGCACATTGATACTAGATTCAACAGTGGGACGCACTCAAGAAATACCAGCTGAATGAACACGTATCCGTGAGAGGCCACTTCTGCTTTTAGAGATGTGTTAGGAGAATCTGAAATGTGCATGCCCTTTGTCCCATTAATTCCACTTCCAGGAAATCTGCCCTCAGGAAATAACTTGAAGAGACTGCTAAGAGTTACATCTAAGGACGTTCATCATAGCACTGTTTTAAAATATCAAAATCTGAAACAGCCTAAGTGTCCAACAGTGGAGGATTGGTTAACTATGTCCTTTTATATCCATACAATGGAACACCACGCAGCCAGTTAAAAGATGACGTGGATTTGGACGTACGGACATGAAATAAGCTAAGTGAACTGCTATGTGAATAAAGCAGCTTCCAAGCAGAACATACAGTATGAACCCATTTTTGAATTTGAATATGTCTACATCTGCATAAGCAAAGGTCTAGACCAGGGTGGGTAAACTTTGGGTAAAGGGCCAGATAGTAAATTTTTTAGGCTTTGCAGGCCATGCAGTCTCTGTCACAAATACTCAACTCTGCTATTATAGTGTGACAGCAGCCATAGGCAATACATAGAAGAAAGGGTATGGCTATGCTCCAATACAACTTTGTTCACAAGACAATGTACATTATCATAGTTTGCTCCCCTCTGGTCTAGAAGAGATCACACCAAAATGCTAACAGTGACTATTTTTGGATTGTGGAATTATTGGTGATCTCTAATTTCTTCTTTATAATTTTATACTTTTTTGTATTTTCTCAAATTTAATAACGAGCATGTGTTACTTTCAAAATCAGAACCAATAACATGCCCTTTTCATTATTTCTCTTCTGGGGGGAAAGGCTTTGAGAAGCCCCAGACATGGTCTTCCATAGTTTCATATTTTGAGATCATATCTCATTCACCGTTTCTTAGTTTTCCTGTAGGGCACCCCCCGACTCTCAACACACCCTCAAGAAAAGGAAGGAAGGGAGGGAGGGGGGGGAGAGACCGAGAAGGAGGGGGAGAGGGAGGAAGCAACCCCCACCCCCACCCCCCCGCCTGGTGTTTCAGAGCATCCCGAGGATCAGGGATGGGCATGACCTACCACTAGACACAAGTCACAGAGGGCCAGCTCCCTGCCAGCCTCCTCCAGGATGGCAGGGTCCAGGTTTTCTCCAAACCACACCACGTGAGGTCGCAGCAGGCCCCCGCATGCTGCCTCTTCACACCTGGAAGAGTGTCATCCTTAAGCCAACCCCAAGACCTGCTCTCAGGAAGGTCTGCCCAAGTGGATCGGGGACAGCCGGGAGCTGCACCAGGTCCAGTCTGTCCAGGTGGGTCACTCTGAGCCTTCCTATCCCCCATCCCTTCCCTCCAGCCCACATGAGCTTGTCCTGAAGGTGCAGCTCTACCTGCCCTTATGAAGTTTCTGTTCTGTCTGGACGCACTGGGTTGACGTGCTGGTGGAGACGTTTCAGCCAGCCTCGCTGTTCTCCTTCTAAACAGCTGTCTCTTCCCCAGCCGCTTCCCCACGGTCATGGGCCTGGTCGTGCTCACGGTCAGCCAGGCCCAGGAGGAATGTACTGGGCTGAGCTTTGCCTCTAACACGTCAACTGCTTGCTAATATCATCAGTGACCTCCTCCTTTCTTCTCTCAGATTCACCTCTCTCTTGCCCTGTCTCTAGCCAAGTTCTCCAGCGTCAATTCCTAAAAATCTCTCATCTTTCACTCGCTACTATCCCAGGTCATCTTATAATTTACCTTCTAAAATAATCTCCCCCAAACACCATTTTCATCATATTAATCTCCTACTCAAGATTCTTTTAGATCAAAACTTTCAGATCAAGACTTCAGAATTTAGTAATGAAAACTTATTCTTTTAGAGCAAAACTTTGAATTTAGTAATGGAAACCCTTATTAAGAAACATAAAAAAGGTTAAGTCAACCAGGGAAATACCAACATAATTGCTTTTTAGAGAGTAACAGTGTACTTTCACATATTCAGTGCTCTCATTAGTCCTGCAGTAAAGGAAACATACTTTAACTTCGTTCGGTCTAGTGTTTCCACATGACATCTTTTTTTCAAGTAATGCCTGTAACTTCACATGGATCTAGTGCTCTAAGAAACACTTTTGGAAGCGCTATTTTAATGTCTAGTTTTGAAAAACTGACATACAAGTTTTTGTTGTTGTTACTCTACCAAAATTCTATTTGGCCCTACAGCTTCACCTATGCAAGACCTATTTCTGCCTCTGTGACCCTGGATTGATAACTCTGAAGATGACGCGGAGGACGGAGGGTAGCAGCCGAGGCTTAGGGACCAGTTAGTCCCGGGACGCCAGCCTCTACGCTTCGTATACACTGGTAAGTGTCTACCACATAACAGCTGCTGAAACTTTCAGACCTGAAATGATCCCGCCATAACACACAGGAGAAAGGGACGGGACAGAAGCACTTCTCTTAAGCCTGGCTTGGTTCACCTTTTGTCCTTTCGCCCTTGCTCATAGATCAGCGCTGGTTTCGGCATTTGCACATTTAAGAGGCATCTCACCAAGTGAACCTGGATTTTGACTCCTAATTTTCTTTTTTTTTGCAATCTGGAACACCAAATACAGATCAAAGATTTTTTACCCACCGGGGAAGTTTCTCCACTGGGATTCTAGCATCTTGAGTTTCAGGTTCTGGAGCCCTGAAGTAAATAGTATCAGAAAAGAAAGAATGTCACTGGTGTAGTCGAAGAACAATGAAATAAGATAACCCAATAGGACTGTCTCTTTGCCTGGCAGTATATGGTACAAAACTCCTAATGCATACACACTGACTTAGGAGGGTACTAGGAGGATGGACACCAAACAGGTGATTACCACTGGTTATACCTCAGGAGAGGGAATTTGGATGTGGGAAGCGGGTGGAGGACCTGTTGTGCTGAGGGGAGTTTCATGATTTGCATGGTATATGTCATCCTAGTTGGAACCATCTGCAATGACATTATGTCAGTAAGTTACGTGGATAATTTATACTGATTTAAAATGGCCAGGTAGAATTTTTCTCAATATTCTGAGTGTACTCTTAATTTTTTGCCCTAATTATAATAACAGTAAATGTTCATCATAGAAATGTTGGAAAATTCAGAAAGATATATATAAAGAAGAAATCAAAATTGTCCATAATCCTACCACTCCTGTTAATATTTTGTTGTATTTTCTTCTGGACTTTTATCTATATAAAGATACATCAACATGGTGTGTGTGTGTGTGTGTGTGTGTGTGTGTGTGTGTGTGTAATGTTGGAAAATTCAGAAAGATATATATAAAGAAGAAATCAAAATTGTCCATAATCCTACCACTCCTGTTAATATTTTGTTGTATTTTCTTCTGGACTTTTATCTATATAAAGATACATCAACATGGTGTGTGTGTGTGTGTGTGTGTGTGTGTGTGTGTTTAAATACAAAGTTGGGATCATACTGTATAGAGTTAGATTCCGTTGTTTTCACTTAATATTGTAAATTGTGAGCAAAATACTTCTTTTATCATATAGCTGTACTGTACCCAGTTTTATTTCTCATAAATATCCATGGGCATCTTAGATGAATGTTCAATTTCTTCGCATTTATATTCAACTTAGACAAAACGACATACGTCTATTCTGTAGTGCAGTATAATTACCCCTTTCCTGATAAAGCTGGACAAATTGGACTCTTGTAATTCTCAGCCACAACTCCACAAGAGGTACATCGAGTTTTAAATAAGCTACCTGAAAAGCAAAAGTTAAACAAGACTGGAATTTAGTATAATCAGGAGCAATTGTCTCCACGTCTAAAAGGGTACGAAATAATTTTGTTTTTATACATCGTTTTAACAAATGGGCCTACCCCAGGTATCCCAGGGAACATAATAAAGGCATGCAGTACTACTGAACAAGCCAGAACATCTGCCCTCCTGGACTGCATAACCTGTAGGAGAGAGAGGCGGATGAAATAACTCACTGCGTGACTAAGGAGCTCTCTGACCGCCCTGATGAACGGAAGTAGTCAGTTGGGCAGAAGAATCCAATCTAACCCTAAGGGCAGCATTTACTAAGTGTATGACTGATAAAGGCTCAATAGCTTGGGACGGGCTTTACAGAATCTTAATTTTGACTTAATAAAGCTTGAATCTTTTCTACAAAAGCAGCTCAATAAATAACCAACTAACAAATGAAGAAAATAACTGTTAAAACTAGCAATGACTTATTGAGCTTAACCAATAAAAGGTGATCTCAATTCACTAAATAGTCACCCCACGCCCAGTGTTGAGCACGTCACAGTGCAGTGGACACACACTGTTCCATTCTGTCCAGAACGCCTTCTTTGGGGAGCCACCTCTCCTCTATCCCATGCCAAGCTGACAGAGCTGGCAGTCACATCCCCAGATACAAGCTTGGGCACGAGTTCCAGACTGGTCCCATCGTAGCAGCCTATCCTTCTATCCTTCTAGTAGTGTTTGGTCAAAAGGGAGGTATGTGATCCAAGCAAGGCCATCCAGAGACTTATTTTCTGAGGAGACAGCTAAACTAGAGGGAGCCTGGAGCCCCACTGGGTCACTGCTTCCGGAAATTCCACAATTTGAAATGCGTTTCTTGGGACTGAACTTTTGTAGACTATTAAATGCCCTTGGGAAGAAATTCCTGCATACCCATTTATGCTCTTGTATGAATGAACTGATTAGATTTTCGGTGAGAGCAAAAAGGGGAGAGGATTAAGAAACGGGAAGAGGAGGGTGTCATTAAGCGCAGAGAAGGGAAGCCAGAGGGACCCAAGACAAGCTCCGTGGTGTCACAGACCTGGTGGGCTCACTGCAGCCAAGGTCACTGAGCTGGCAGCTCCCTAAAGGCTCGAGGGCTGAGCAGAAGCACAGCCTCAGTGGACAGGGCCGATCGGGGACACAGGAAGAGTAAATGGTTCCCCCAGGGATGCCAGGCCTTTCCAGAGCTGAATCCTGCTAAAGCCACAGCTGTTCAATGGCCCAAACCTCCTGCTTCCCTCAGCCCAGCTTGGGGGGGCTGTCTGGGAACAAAAGGCCCCTCAACAGGACACCCAGGGAGGGGAGAGCACATAGCAGAGCAGACCGGGCTTCTCCGGGCAGGGTGGTCTACATTCCAGACACCTGGGGTCTTGTTAAGATGCAGTGGGCCCAGCTGGGACATGACAGCACCTGTGTTTTCAGGTCTGGTTCTCCCCTCCCACAGAAGACCGAGGGTCCCTCACCATGGATTTCCAGAAGGTTCTTGGTGCCAGCCTTGCGGTGCAGCTCATCGATGTTCTGCGTGATGACCGTGACCCGTCGGCCCTGCCTGCCCAGCCGGGCCTCACACTCAGCGATGGCCAGATGACCGGCGTTGGGCTCCTTGCTCTGCACCACCTCCCGCCGGTAGTGGTAGAACTCCCACACCTGGGATGGGTTTCGGGCAAAGGCCTGAGGGGTGGCCAGGTCCTGGGGGGCAGAAAGGAGGCAGGCGTCAGGGAGGGAAAGAAGCTCTGATGCTCCAGAAGCTGGGCAGCAGGGCTGCTGCAGCCGGCGGGACACTCCCAGGTCCCCTTTGTTCTAAGCAGAGAGGCAGCTTTGGGAGGTGCCCGCAGGGACACGTCCGTGTAGGTACACATGGCATGGCAGCCACAGGGCGGGGCCTGGGGCTCACGAGGGACCTTGGAGAAATCGGTTTAACTTCCCCAGTGATGACGCAGGGAGACTGCAACCTGTCTCATCTTCCACTCGAGTAAGTTACGAACGTGAAGTCCAGTAACAGGCGGGAAGGTAATTTAGTCTGGAATCCAGTTTTCCATGGAGCTCTACATTACAGGATGCCAAGCTCATTTATCCCGGAAGAAAAGTAAAATGCAAAATGCCCAAATGAGGTATAATGGCCATAGTTGAAAAACTCGGTTTTTATAACTATAATGATAGATACGTACACACACACACAACTACACATATAAAAAATAGTATATACATCACAGTAACAGGATATATATAAAATACATATTTTTTATAGTGCGATTCCTCTTCTAGGAGAGGCAAATCTCATCGACGGTGGAAGAGCAGTGTGGTCCGTAGCTGTCTGGGGCTGGAAGCTCGGGGGAGGGGAACCCTTGGCAATGACTGAAATGTTCCATAAATGGATTGAGGCGGGGTTGGGATTATGCATTGTATTTTACAATAAAGGTCGCCCTTCAACCTGGTGGTAAAGTCAGCCTGCATTGGGGGAGTGGATCATCTGTGCCGATCAACCCTGTTCTTCCTTCCTTCCTGTCCCCACTTAGACCTCCGGTGGCCCGAAGCGGTCACAGGCAGCGCATGAAGCTGCAGCCCCGGAACACAGGTGGAGTCAAACAGTCGACTGACTTCTTTGGGTCCCCACAGACCTTGAGCTGCTTTGACACCACCGACCACCCCTCTGGAAGCCCCTCCTGATGCCCGCCAAGCACCCCCGTCCGCCCCAACCCCGCCCTGCTTCTTAGACCCAGGGACTGCCCTCCGCAGCTGCTCCTTCTTGTGGGACCCTACGGGCCCTCTGCTCTCCTTTCTCCCCTCCCTCACCTTTAAGGTGATGATCCCCAGACTCGCCCAGAGGGCTGCAGAGAGGTGACAAGACATCCTAAACATCTGCCAGCCTGAGACATTTAATAGGGGAAGGAAGGGCAGATTCATTAACCCTTCACTCGATAAGAAATTACCTATGAAATCTGGAAGTCATGCATTGAAGTAATTACTCATGATTGCCTTCTTTCGACCAACAGAAATCTACTAAGCATCTACATGTGCCAGAGTTCTGGGAGCTGGGGATAGAGCGATGAAGAAAACAGGCACATTTCCCTGCCCTCCAAAACTAGGGATTTCCTGGGCCAGCGGGAGGGGAGGAGATGCCTACAGGGGCCTTGAGGGAATATTCTGGGGCACAGAAATGTTCCACACCATGATCCTGGTGGTGGCTGCACCACTGTATACATTTATTAAAACTCACTGAATTATACACTTATATTGGCGAATTTTATTACATGTATGGGGTTGGCCAAAAAGTTTGTTTGGGTTTTTCCCAATACATTATACCTCAATAAAAACTGAATTAAAAAAACTGCATGCCCCCAGAGAACTTACATCCTAATGACCTTCATGTAAAGTTGTGAGCATCAAGGCCTAAGCCTTTAACAATTCAACACTGTTTTTCACATGCAAAGTTCAGAGAAACTTTTTTAAAATGTGTAATTCTTAATTTCAACATCGATAGAAAAGTAATGAATTATGCTAACCAAAGTTTTCTGGTTCCACTTTAGTTACTGCAAGAAACCCAACTGTCATCTGACTAAGTGCAATCAATACATGCCTAGAAAGAAAGGAAGAGGCTGCTTTGCTTAAATCTGAGATCTTAATCATACAGACCGTGTGTCGATGCCAAAACAAACGGGACAAAAGGGTCATGGTAAATTTCAAAACGTTCCTCTCTGGGTTTCAGGAGTAGGTATAGGTTCCGAGTCAAACACTATTATGGCTTCATGCAGAAGAGCCTCTCGCTGTTCTGGAGACATGACTAACCTGAGCTTTCCATTTTCTCCAATAACCTCCCGCTCCTCTGAACGTCGGTACCCCACTCTCAGCACTGACGCCAGCCCCGGAAATGATGACTATGTGCTTGGCTTTTGCAAAAAACTTCCGGAAGTCAGCCATACCTAAAGAGGGAATAAAATCTTGGTCAATTCAGTGTACCATTTGGACATTTACATCCCAAATCATCTGCCTGTATTTTGAAACGTGACCTTGCGTGAAATTATACTTTAAGATAAGCAAATGAAAATCATTCTCATACCACGAAGACGCCCCCAGGCACCTGATGTGTGAGCATACAACGTCTTAAGAAAGAGATAGGGGCTTGGGGCGCACAGCACTGGCCCTGCATCCCACCCCATCTACTGCAAGCGAGATCTTATGTGAATGACTGACCCTCTGCTATCCTGGGTTTCCTTGGCTGTTTGACGTGCACAATAGTGTCTTCCGTAAAGGGTGGCTACTATGAGGATTAAAAAACGCTAATGGGGGCTTCGCTGGTGGCGCAGTGGTTGAGAGTCCGCCTGCCGATGCAGGGGACGCGGGTTCGTGCCCCGGTCCGGGAAGATCCCACATGCCGCGGAACGGCTGGGCCCGTGAGCCGTGGCCGCTGAGCCTGCGCGTCCGGAGCCTGTGCTCCGCAACGGGAGAGGCCACAGCGGTGAGAGGCCCGCGTGCCGCAAAAAAAAAACAACCCAGCTGGGCTTCCCCTCTGGTGGGCCTTCTCTTACACCTTCCCCTTCTCCTCCAAGGCTCAGGTAAGTTTCTCTCCTCTGGGCTCTGCCATAGCACGTATCACAGTGCACTCCCATCCACTCTCCATCACCCGCCAGACCTGATTCCTCAGGTCTTATTTGTGGAGTCTCAGAGCCATAGTCAGTACCTGACATGGAGGAGGCACTTCCTAAATGTGTCTTGTAATAATGAATCTTTAGGATAGGGCTGGAGTATTTCTCAAACATACTGGGCCAGAGGATTCATCCTTTCTCTTTTTAATATGTGTATATATAGGGCTTCCCTGGTGGCGCAGTGGTTGAGAGTCCGCCTGCCGATGCAGGGGACACGGGTTCGTGCCCCCGTCCAGGAAGATCCCACGTGCCGCGGAGCGGCTGGGCCCGTGAGCCATGGCCGCTGAGCCTGCGCGTCCGGAGCCTGTGCTCCGCGACGGGAGAGGCCGCGACAGTGAGAGGCCCGCGTACCGCAAAATAAATAAATACATAAATAAATAAATAAATAATTAAAAAAATAAAAAGAATTAAAAAAACGCTAATGGACGGGGATGCACCTTCCTTCTTAAAAGTAAAAACAAGCTTGTGTGTGTGTGAGGGCTGATCTCAGGCCCGCTGGACCCCAAAGCATTCCCTTCCTTTCCAAATTCACTTCCCTTTGAGGATCCTGCTCATCCCAGCTTCGCTCGGCATCACCACTGGGGCGAAGGCGGGGGCCTCCGCTGTGAATAAACGCTCTGTGTCCCAATCTGGACCCACGACCTTCTCCTTCACAGCTCGAGCAAGAGTTGGTCTTTACAACAAGACGTCCCCAGAGACTTGGGGTTACGGAAGGGAACTGGGCGCAGAGAATAACACGACAGCAGGGAGTTGTGGTCACAGCCTGTGGCCTGCGCTCCAGGATCCAAGGCCCAGCCCTGCACCTCCGGCCATCCTCCCGCCTGACCTCAGACCAACAGGGGCAGCAGCCCTCCTGCCATGAGGGCTCACTGTGCCCAGGCGCCGCACTAAGCACTCGATGAGCATCACCGCCAAAGGTGGACTTTGGTCCTGAAACGAATGTCATCCATCGCCAGGCTTGGAACCGCTGTTGTTTCTCCTGGTGGCAGAGATGAGGCCGAGAGCAACGCCCTCTCTCCCAGGCACCGCGGCTCTGCGGCCCTCATGCCTGGGGTGAGGAAACGCCACGGCCCCACAGGCCAGGCCTAAGCAGTGCAGCAGAGCCGAGCATAAGCTGCAGGGGAAGAGACTTCCTCCAGTGCCCCTACCCGGAGAAGCGAGTGTGGACCAGCGTGGCCTGCGGCTGGCCTGGGCCACCAGGGCAGGGTCTGCCGGGCACAGGTATCTTCCAGGAGTGGCCAACCTGCGCTCAACCTGCAGTGGAAGCAGGTTGCTTGGCTGCTGGAGCAGGCTCTCTGGTCTCCCCCGGGAGGAATGGCAACCGAGGCTAATCAACCCTCGGACTGATCGAGCGCCCCTGAGACATGGAACAGGTGAAGGAGGAAGGGAAGGAAGACAGTGGGATGGGGGCTCACAGACAACGAAGTGAACATTAAAGGGAAGGCGACGTCATTGCACACCCCAAGCTGGGGACGCGTATCTTACCAGTTTCTCATATTTGATGGCTCCTCCAGGCAGGGCGGGGACCTCCTCCCCCTTGTAAGCTCAGAGCTGCCTCTATGGCTAGCCCAGGACAGAGAATCTCAAAAGAGGCTCAAAATCTCTCCTCCCCTTCCCTTCCTCTCTGACGACTGGCAAGAATAAACAAAGAATAAAAGCAGAGCCTCAGAAACAGAAGATGCAGAGGCTCCGGCCCCCTCTCCGGCTCGGTCCTGGAGCTCTGGGACCATGCTTTCAGCAGCACAAGCTCAAAGGGATGAAGACGGCCTAGGCACACTGTGCCCCTGGGTGTAAACAGCCTGGCAGCCTGCCAACTGCACTAGCGCTCTGCCTGAATTCGCACCCCTTTCAGAGACAGACCAGTGTGAAAAACAGGGCCCACGAAAGCTGTCCAACCAGGAAGAATTCGGAAAAAGAAACCCCGTCTGGGTGGGTCAGAGGTTGTAATCTGATCTAATCTCCTGAAAGAACAAGATGCTTAATAAGAAAATACATCAGTACTTTTCTAGGAACTATTTACATGACTCCTGGATTCAAAACCTACAAACATCCTTACGGACCTCAAGTTCACCCATAGAACTTTCCCCTAAAGGTCTTTTCTACCTCAAATGTAAACTCTGTCATCCTACTGATGAATAGATTCATAGGTCAGAGTTGACTTGCAGGTTTTTGTCAGGTAGAGATACAAATCATTTCTGTCTAGTAGAAAATTTAACCCCATAGTACCCCATAGCACGATCACTATCTTTCTTGCCCTGCCGAGAAGTGAGGGGTTTAAAATACAAATCATGTGTGAAAAGCTTAAATGCAAACATTCTGAAGAAGCAACAGAATGTCTTAAATGGACTTAACTTGGCTACTGAGAGATAATTCTGACCCTGTCCTGGAAAGGGCTTCCCTAAGGACAACAGGTCAGAGCGACTTTCTCCACCATCCTGCCCCGTACCCACTTCAATACAGACATTCCCCCTCACAGGGTAGGAACTTTCAGGTATTTCAAATTCCACTGGAGATGAGATGGCAGGCTGCGAAGACCTACTTGAACTTGGACGGGCCATTGTTAGGCAAATCTTGGTTTGTATAGAGGCTGGAGGCTTCAATCCACAATACAGCTGGGAAAGTAAATGGCTTGGGACAATCCGGAGAGGTGGCATCAGGTTCTCTGTGTCACACTAATTATTGAGATGGGCTTTAGAAAAATCACAAAACAAAGAGAAACAATCAGAAAATACTGGTATTTCTGCAAATATATACATACACACATACACATATACGCAAAAGAATGCCCTTAACAAAAATCTTCTGTAGCAATTTTCATGCTGTTCATCCTCTAAACTAGCTGTTTTCATTGTGTGTTCTCAAGCGCTCCTAGGTGCCCAGAATAGTGGTTTACAAAGTATGGTCCCCAGACCAGCATCAGCAGCTTCCCCTGAGATCTTGTTAGAAATGCAAAGTCATGGGCTCCACCCCAGATCCACTGAATCAGGAACTCTGGCAGTGGGGCCCATCTCTGTCTCTGGGTGATTCTGATGAGTGCTCAAGTTTGAGAACCACAGCCTCAGAGGCTTGGGAAGGGGTCAGATGGGAGAACTCATTTGAAACACAGCTTCTGATGCTTTCAAAAAGGTATGAAGGGCTTCCCTGGTGGCGCAGTGGTTGAGAGTCCGCCTGCCGATGCAGGGGACACGTGTTCGTGCCCCGGT